CTCTTCATTCATCAATTCCCCTTCATTCTTACCTCCCACAGGAAAGGGGATTAACCTAGAGTCTCTTCACAGCATGACACGTGCATTAAACTTCTGCATCACAGAACACCCACTACACATTGCTTAGACTCCAGTGTACGAAGGCAAAATGTTGGCGTCACAGAAGCTTGCATGAAGAGGGGCTTATGTCTCCAGACTGCTGAAGCACCAAGATTTCAGATGACAGCCATTCAGTTGCCTGCCATTTTCCAGGTGGAACGATAGGAGAAAAGGACAGCCACATCAACACGGAATGTGGCAGAAGAGTGGGAAAACTCAGGGTGATCCGATCTGATCAGTTAATTCTAGATCACTTAATGGCATTTTGTCCCCTTCCCCATTTTTTATGCTTAATGCCTCATGTTGTAAGACAAGAGTACAGCTTATGGGTATGTGGTTATAACCTATGCATGCAACAAGGAGAGAGTCAATTATTTTATGGAATCACTAGGTATTTTTCGCTGTCAATCTGTATCATCAAAACGGGGCATCCAGTACCAAATTTCAGCACCAGGCAGTAAGACAGCCCATTTCAATCCATCTGCTTCAAAAAGTTACTGTACCTCATAAATGAGCCCGTAATGAAAAGCATTTGAGACATTACAAAATTGACAAGGGAACCTTTAACATTCCAACTCCAGAACTAAGTTCTGCTTCAAGAGGTACATGCCCCCGGAACAGAACGGTTTATGTGAAGTCAAAGCATCAAGACTATGCAAGACATACATACCTTCATGCCAGCACTTATTTATAGATCCTTTGTGGATTGCTGAAAACTAAGGTAAGGTGGCTTCTGAAAAGAGCCACTAGAATTTGTGCCAGCACTCTAAGAGCTTTCAAGTAGTAAACATTTGCAAAACATTAACTGCGGTCTTCACTGAAACAGAGGGTTTCCATTCAATTCAAAAAAGAACCGGCGAAACAAAAATATCACTTAAAGCCTCAGATACTAAACACAACTATTTTCAATGCACCTTTTTCAAAGGAGTTGACCTCTTTGGCAAGGGAGAAGTCAGCTTCCTTTCAGCCTATTTTATGAAAAAAATGCTATAGGACTCTTCCACAGTAGAAGTATTTTATGCTACAAATTTGTAGCATACATTTGTATGCTACAAATACTTCCACAGTATTTGTATTGCTGTGTTCACACTACCCCCTAGTGATTGTTAATTATATTTAATAGCATGACTCTTCTTCCCTTTGATTTTGAACACTATATATGGAAAGGGTTTACTGCAAGTATTACCTTTAAAACAGGTTTATGTTCTAGCTCTAAGCCTTACGTGCGTAACGTTTGCTCCATATCCCTTACAATCTTTTCGGTTGTCAGAAATTTCCTGTCACCTATTCAAGACGTATCTACAGACTTAATAGTTCACTGCGCATACTGTGTCTAAGTAGCAACATAAATCCCACTTTCAGTACTCCTCTAGCAGTTCTTCAGAATTTTACACACTTACAACCTTTGGGAAGAACATCCAATAGGTACCTATGTTCGACGGTCTGTCTGCCAAGTAAAAAAGCCTGTTAACTTCCTCAGGACTTCAGAATCAAAACTCTTCTTTTAGAAGCAATTACTCCATTTCACCATCCCCTTAGTCTAACATCACTAGTTCACCTATGTTTAGAAGAAACTGGAGTACCTATCCTTTCACCAGGGCAACTGCCTACTAATCCCAGTTACTAACCTCAATAAAGGCAGGAACACTATGGCACGAAGTACAGAAAATTTACTGTACAGCTAAGAGTGCGATGCTGCTGAATGCAGACAATAGCAACCCCACTAGTTCAAGACTCAGCCTGAAGGTACCAGAAGAGGCATTAGGTACTTGATCTATACTTAACAGATCTTGTACGGAAGCTACTAGGACAACAGTATCCCCTTACAGCCACTTTAACAGCTCTAACTACAGGGTTGTTGGTTTCCCCCCCCCAAACACTAAAAACGCCTTACCTGTGTTACAATATACTGCCTCAGTACAGAGGTAGGACAATTCAAAAATACCGGACTTGGGTAAGAATCAAGTCAGAGCCTTCATCAGCACAGCTGCTAGAGCTGCCCAGTCTGTTTCAGTCCTATTTAAAGCATGAAACTTCTATTTTGCTTGCTACTCGAAACACCTGCACCAGAATGCCCACACTTCTAGCATAGAGCATGCCTCATCCAGCCACTAATCCAATCTTAAGTGACTCCTTTAAGACCACCAGATGAAAAATTGGGGGTGTACTGCGCAGTTTGCAGACCAGAGACAGACCCCAGAGCCTGTCCTGACAACTCGGAAACAAAAGACAAGTCAAGCCCGACTCCTTCATTAGCAAAAATCTAAACTGTGGAATTAGGCAGCTCTGAATATCTCGTCTACATGTTTTGTTCTCCCTTCAGCTGTATTCTACAGGTCTATATAATACAGGCAGTCAAACAAGCGTATCTTAGAAGGACTTTCCGAACCAGTTTGAACACCAGGTGACAAAACCATGCTCACCTCCACAAACTTAACGCTGCCTGCTTGGAATTAGGTTATGCTGCTATCCATAGAAAGCTCTGATTCTCTTCAAATTGATACTCAAAACAAGAGTTGTTCAATTACGAAAAGATTTTAATTCAGTGCAAACAGCGCGCCAATCTTGAATTTCTCAGACTTTACAAAATGATAGCTTTCAAATCAAAACTAAAGAACAAACCAGGATTTTATTGACATAGTTTATTTGTTGTTACATAGTTTATTTGTTGTTAAAGCCAGATGAGTACCTTTCCGGAATAATTCGTTTTACCCTTCTTCATAGAATAATGTAATCTGTAAAGGAAAAGACAGATCGGTGCCACGTGATTAAAACATTTTTTATACTCACACCTTTATAGAGCCTGAAAAACTGGTTCCCAAACAAGGCAGGTAAACCACACTACCTCTCTGAGAAGAACGTAACGTTCAAAATTTCACAGTACTGTCATGGGAATAAATGACAGCCTAGATTACACCATTTCCGTAGAAGACCTCAACAAGCTACAATTGCTTTACCAGCTTTCTGTTTTAAGACATTATACTCACTACATCAGCTCCCAGACAGACTGTGTAAGTTGCTTTAAAATGAGTCGGACCATTTGTAATCAAACCAGAGTTTTGTCTGTAACAGTTACTGCCCACAGCACGTCCAACTCACTTATGTTTCTGCAGCAAAGATATAAAAATATAGCCTAGGACTTGTCTAAAAGAGTATCAGGTCTGTTTATAAGTAATTTACTTGAAGTATCTGTAAGAGAACAACAGAAATTCATCCTCAAAATAGAAATCATACTACTTTAATCTATTTAAGACAACAAAAAACAAGGTGTGCTAGCCTCTCCTTAGCATACCTATTATGAAAGGAAGATGCAAGCCTTGTTTACAATAAGACTAAATAATCAACAGTTTTAGCAACAGCAAATCTGAGCTGCCCGATTTATTATTTTGGTCTTTATACTAATCAGGGATTTCACGTAAGTAGAAGCGACATAGATTAGCAACTCACTAGTAAGCACAACAGTCGCCTTAACTCTTGCACTGGGTTCTGTATCAGCACAGTACCACGGTCTTTGCATAAATTAAACCTATGCCATCGTAATGACAACAGGCTACTGAATGTCTACCCTTACAAAGCATTCCAAAGTCATACCTGTTATCCATTTTCCACCTGAAGTATGGTCATTTACTGAAAAAGAAAAAGCATTCATTAATAAGATAATAGTTTTAGCAAAGTTATACTACTGTAGAAGATGGAGCTTTGGGGCTTTTTACTGACACTCACAATATGCTTTTTCCAATTACCACAGCAAACTGTGATAGAAAACCTCAAAGTTTTGACCACTGTAGAGGCTGAAGACTTAGATTTCATGCATTCCCTCAAACTCAAAAGGGACCTAGCAATAGCTGTTTAGAGCTTAAGTAATACTCAGAATGCAACTGCATGTTCAATTACGCCTACAGGCTCCAACGGTTTGAAGTGCCTATCCATCCACGCTTCTGTTCGATCGAGTTTTTTAAAAAACAACATTTGTTTGGAAAGCTCACATGTCAAAGGCTGTCAACAACTACAGTTGTGACATTAAAAGGTAGGGTGGGGTTTGGGTTTTTTCTTTTGCATTTGCTCAGAATGTAAACGCTAGGTGAGGAGCATCCACATCTACTTGTTGCAAACTTTCATGCAAGACTTGCTGCAAACTTATGTGAGCTCAGCTAACTATAGAGCTAAGAATACGTTAAATAACACGAACTACTTTAAAATACTTCTCTTGAAACTGCAGGGAAACCAGAATGGGAATTCTGAAGGAGTGAGAAGTGAAAGAAAGCACCAAAGAAAACTTTTAACAGTCAGACATCACCCCAGTTGATGTCTGACTTAAAAGTTCAAGAAAAACTATTCAAGTGTTATTTCACCATTTCAATAGTTTTCGTGACTACGTGGTACATAACTCACAGAACAATACAGGCTTGCCTGAAGATGTCTCAGAACCAAGCGCCTACACATTTCTGAGATAAACAGTTTTCAGATTGTGCAGGCGGACTCCAAAACATATTGCAGGACTCCAGCTAAAAATTCCTCCACATGGCTGTGATAAAGGATGTTGAACCATGCCACGCCATTATGTTTGAACATGCATTTTTCAAGACAAAGCTTTAAGACACAAGTGTATTCCGCAAGCTTTTTTCTGCGACGCAGCACAGAACTCGTCTCAACCAAGTTTTCCAGAAAGCACGTGAATCACTTTGTCTTTAGTTTAAGTCTAATGCGAGGACACAAAGATTAACAAAACTGGTGAACAAATAAGGCCTAGCCCATGCACACTTATCAATTAAAAGATAGTTTTGAAAGACATTAAAAAACCTCTCATCCAAAACACAGTTCGCCTACTATTGAGATTGCATGCTAGTTTGAGAAGCACTTGATACAGAAGTCACATCTGCTATATAATTATCACAGCACATGATCCTGGTCTTGATTTCTAAAGTGTTTATAAGCTTTAAGAGAATTTCTATGAACTGGACAGCTTTAGTAATCCAAGTGACAGTCATTTAACCATTTTGTATTAAGTCAATAAGCTACCTTCAAGTGCAAAATTCTTGGAGGGAAGTTCATCCGTACCACTGGTATCAGTGCAACACTAAATGACTCCCTTGACATTCACAAGAGGGCGTACGTTAGTGTTACTACTATACCAAATGATAATTTGTGCTGTTATACTGTAAACAATTGTAGGACTTATTAGAACAGCATTAAAGCAGAAAGGAAAAGGGCTCCAAATCTTATCTAGTACTTCGCAGCAACACTGGTTTATTTCCATCCAATGGTAACAAGAACTGCATTTATACAGTAAGTGAAGAATCTAATTTCACAGAGGAATCACTGCGGTTTGTGTCTTAACTTGGAATACTGCAGGGCAACAGTTAAATACAGTTTAATGCTGACAACTGCGTCGTTTCCAACCACCGTCTCAAATGCACAAAGCTGTGATGTGACTTAGTTTTCATAAAGATGCACAGCTACTTTCACACAAAGGTCAGGTTACACACGCGATTGCACTGTACTGCTTTGAATCAGAACCCGGGGTGTTTAGAACCAATGCCTCAAATCAAGAGCATTGAGTTTCTTTGATTTCTTCTCATTTGGAATTCCTTAATGTTGTTTCACTGGTTTCAAAAGTCTTGTTCGCTATTAGCCAAATTTTATTTCTAAGTCACACAGAATAAAGTTCATCATGTAGTGACCTGAACCCTTACAGGACAGAACCAAGCTTAAAACAAACATGCACGCATGCAAGGCAGTACAGCGCTTCAACTAAAAGGATGGGCACGTGTTTCAGTGATGTATAATTCAGTCACCACACCCATGCTCGTTTTCAGTACCTGCTAGATACTTCATTTCTGATGGAGAATTCCAAGAAAGTAGGAAAAAAAAGCAGAAGCGAAGATTACTAAAGTTCCAAGTTGTCAAAGCACTCCAGCAGCTACAGAGCTAAGTGTCAAAACCCATCGCCCTGTCTTCCCTTGTTGTAACACCTGGAAAACACCCACTTCGCTACACAGCTTACTCAGCGTTTTTCAGGGGCAAAAAAGCTGCTAAGGAAGATGACTGTCTTCACACCCAGGCTATTCCTCAGTTTTGGTGGGGTTTTTTTGTTTAATGACAGAGGAACTCTGTCTCCCTCCAAGCTGCACACCTGGCAAGCTGGTATCAAGTTCCAGCCACAGCATAGGAAGCTCCCACCAGGGGTAAAAAAAAAAAACCCTACTGTCTTGGGAATCAGTCACTTAAAACCAGGATAAAGCAGGCATTCTGCCTTATTTCTATTTGCACACTGTCCTTACTGCCTATACCACCACACATAAATAACACCATAAATAACAGCAACTTGGTGGAGTAAGCATTAGGTATTCAGGTAGTCTGAGTAACAAGTGTTAATAATGTCTAATTTGCATATTGCAAGGCTGAGTTACAAGATTAGAGCCATACTGTTAGACTTACAAAAGTTTAACTTTGGTTCAAGTGACATGTAGGAAACAATCATTTAAGAAGCATTATTTCACATTCTACCAGCTAAGCTTGCAGCAGTGAGAAGCAAAACTAAGCTACTGAGCTGGTAAGAAGCTATACAACACCACACAGATTACCTTCTGTATCCAGTAGAACAGGTGAAAAAAATGGAAGAAAAACAATGTTATTCTGTTGAAGAATTTCTAATCAACGTTTCAAAGGCAACACGCTCACTCCAGCTTACAGATATTCTCATCCTACCTTCTTGCCAGCACCAACATTTGCCTTGGCTGTGCCCCTGACTTTCTTCATCCTGTTCTTACGCTCCTTCCGCTGCTTCCTAGAAGTCTTCTTCTTTTCATACAAGCCATGCTATTAAAAAACAGTTAAAGTTGCATTTAACTTTGTTTCACTGATAGTGATGTCTGAATTTAAGTTTTACTATTTCTGGACTTTGCAAGTACTGTTTGAATTTGAAATATTAGCCCAGTAGTGAGACAAGTTCACTAGTTAATGAATGATTCAGCACAGAATATAAGCGCTACAGTAGCATACGTCTCAGTCTCATCTCTTATGCTTCTCGAAGACCTTTAATAGTGGTCAGTCATCTATTACTGCTGAACGTCACTGGTAACATCATTTTCGCCTTTGTGATCCCCCTATAATAAACAATAAAAAACTTACCCTATTTTGCAAACGCAGAAGCTAGCCTATACTATTTTACGGCCTCTTATAGAGCTCTGACTAAACCAACAGTACTTTCACCAAACTTTAGCTTTTATACGAGTAAATCACGAACCACTAAACACTTCACATCCATCCCAACCGCCTTCAAGTTACCAGGAAACAACCCACCCTGGCAAGCCTGTGCTTTGGTTCGTTCTTCTTTGCATAGTCCAGAGAATCGTAGATCATGCCAAAACCTGTTGTCTTGCCACCACCAAAGTGAGTTCTGAAGCCAAAGACGAAAATCACATCGGGCGTCGTCTTGTACATTTTTGCCAGCTTTTCCCTGATTTCTGTTTTGGGGACCGTGGCCTTCCCAGGATGAAGAACATCAATCACCTAAGAAGGAATTTTGACAAGTTGCATGAAAGCAAGAGAAGGTCGATATCCAGTACAACAGCCAAGCGCTGCAGTCCCACCGCGAGCTTAACACTTAAACTAACCCACCTCGGCAGCAGAAAGTATTATTAATTCGATACCAAAGCCTTCTTAACAGTTCCCCGCTTCAAAAGACAAAACAACTCACTACCTCACCATCACGATTTACCTTCAGCACGCATCAACACATTTAAACCTATAAGCTCTCACAAGAAGGACGCTGGAGGTTTTAAGGGCCCCTTGCTTATAGCGGCTAAGGAAC